ACTCTCAATGACCTAAATCAAGTCTCCACAGTCTGCCAAAGAAACGCTCTCTTCAGCTGCTGGATGTAAACTGCTGAGCATCAAGGTGGTTTTGTTTAGTGAGCTAGTCTTCACAGGTGACCCACTTAATAGAAAGGACAAGCCAGACCATAACATCTCAAAAACGCAATCGAAACGATACAAGCTTTTTTTTGAGGCCTTTTTTTTTTTTTTTCAAATAGAGACAACATTATCGCTGTGTGATGTTCAGTTAGATCCCTATGCATTCACAAAACTGCTGCAGATGTGTGGACATCAGATCACTGGTTTCCTTCTCCATATTGCAGTTTCTGGTACAGAATCCTAATCTCTTCTAGTTTACTAACTTTTATACTTGAGAAGAAATAAATCCGTAATACAAGAGTATTAACTAACAGCTAATTAGAAATGCAAACATTTATCATGATTTCGTGGTGGTGCAACTCTCTGAGATTCTGCTTTTGTTCTTTACAAAGAAGTTGCAAATATCAGAAGACCACTTGAAATCAGAGCATTTGCTTCTTGTAATCTAAGTCATCATGAAGCCAAGGCACCAATAACTTAAGCTACAGAACACTTTTTAGAGAACTGAATTATATTTTTCAAAGTTAAAACAATATTTTGTGTGACAATTTGACTAGTGCTCAGACCTAAATAATGTGTGTGTGGGGGGGGAACTTTTGCTTCATCGACAAAATTTATCCCATTAATTATTCTTAACCATAACCTTTTCAGTGCCCTTGGCTATATGCTATCAGCTAAACTTTTAAAAATATTTAGAACAGAGCTATGTCTCTTTCAGAATAGCAGCAATGATAACTGCTAAAATAAAGTAAGGTTCATGATGAGGTTTACATCTCTGAACACGCTCAGTGTTTTATAAAACAAACATTATATTTTCTGGAAGACTTTGTGATTTCTTTAAGGTTCCTCACCAGTTAGCATGAACTGATAAGCGTTGTCAGAGATGGAGAAGATGTGGGGAGGAGCCTCCTGGCGCTTTTTGCCTCGGTAGGCCAACACCACCTCTGGGTTGTACACCGGCAGCCACTTGTAGGGGGTGACAGTGACACAGAAGAGACCCGAGTAGGTCTGTGAGGAAGGGAGACAGCAAGTTGGCTTCCACTCATAGCAGTTCTTCCTAGCTAGCTGCAGGAGGACTGCTGCTGGTACTTACGTAGATCATCCAGGCTGCATAACGCTCTTTGAGGTTATACAGCACAGCGGGTTCATGGAGGTGGGTCATCATGGCCATGTCCTCAATTTTGTCATACTTAGGAGGGTTCATGGAGAAGACTTGATCTTCCTTCACGGTCAGAGTCTGCCAAGGAAGAGAGAGGTCCATGCATGTCAGCTAAGAGCTCAGAGCGGGAGTTAAATGCTGCTCTGAAGCCTTGTGTTTTACTCACTTCTCCTGCTTCGGTCTTGACAGTGACCTTTCCTCCTTCCCTGCTCTGGATTGTCCCTTTCACAAAGGATTCCTTAGGATGAGCCACAAAGACCGATGACTTGGCATCGAAGGGTTTGTTCTGGGCCTCGATTCTCTCCTTTTCTGACTTTCGGAGGTAAGGAGCCGCCTCCCCAAAGACGGCCATCTCAGAGTCTGAAGAGGCCATGTCTGCACTTTGCTGAAAGCACGTCAGCAGAAGTGTCTAATGGGGAAGAATAATATAGCATTCATTATTTCAGTCTGTTCTGTAAGACTGGGATACATTTTATATCCTGTGCAGTGTTTTCTCTTCTTGCTCAAATATTTGGAACATCTAACAGGAGCCAAATGGAGAAATTATTTTTAGGTCAGTTTAGAAAATAGGAGTTTTGTATTGAAGTCTATGTCTTTGAATTTTTAGGAGAGCAACTTTTAATGACCTTTCACAATTGTCCATTTAGGACTTTTTGGAATACTGTGTCTGTAGGTGAGAGTGAAGTGGCTGATGACTTTTCACATGATCATTAGAAATGGAAATTCAGATGGAGCATTTTGTTAGAAGGATTAACAGCACAGAAACATTACAGAAAAACTGGAGTGTGGGAGGCTACCAAGCCTTGAAAACATTGAATCTGTGGGACATTTACTTATCATCCGTAGTGGTGACTGGAAAATTAATGAATTATGCTAATGAAATTCTAAGCAGATTGGAAAGTTTTTACTACTTTTTAATAGCTATAATGTAATTTATTTATACATTTGTTATTGTTCAGTAGAATGCCTAAAATAATTTCAGGCCCAAAGTCCCAGCTTGCACTGAAATAAAATTCAAGCACAGAAACTAGAATTTCAATGCCTGTATTAAGCTCACAAATAAACACTGATTTAAAAAGAAATCTAGAAATAGATATGTTCTCAAAACTTTAACAAAATCAGACTATTTCTTTACAAGTTGTAATAAATATGTAGGCAGCTAATTTCAGCCCACCAAGCTTGAAAATTCTCTAGCTATGTTAGTGAAATAAAGGTTCCTTCTGTTCATCAGCTAATAAATCATTTTGTCTGGAGTAAGAAAATGATTATCAAAGAGAGTTTTAGCCTCCTCCAAAGATGGTTAACAGGTCCATATGCTCAAATAATTTATTAATTCATATTTTCTCGGACAAAAGGCACAATTTCGCACTTTTCCATTCTTTGCCAATCTCTCTCCAGTACTAGTGCTGCTATATCAAAGATTTAAAGGTAGCATAATTCTGTTAGATCAGTTAAGCAGAAAAAGGAATACCCCCTTAAGGATTTTCTGCCATCAGTGGCCAGGGGCTTCAAATGCAGCCACTTGAAAACCTTACCAGCCATGGGCATGCCACCATCAATCTACTCTAATCACATTGAATTTGAATATAGAGTGAAACAGTAACTGTTCACTCAGCCATGCAGAAATCAAGGTCCTCTCAGATTTAATAAATCAGGTTCTTACCTTTTGTGATACCAGGTGGGCGGCTTGCACACAGGCAGCTGGTCAGTACTGTAAAATAGGAACAGCAACTCAGAATTTATTGCTGTACAGAGTTCCAGAGTGAAAATATGCAAGTGCCTTGAAAGCAGATTTAAAGCCTGATCTGAGGAATAGAGTCCCCTTCTGTACTGGAATTAGGAGGAATACTGGGGGCACCATCCTTTTTCTGCAGACCAGCAGACCCCACACACTTACCTTGAAGCTTTTCATTGAGACAGGGCAGACTTGTCACGGGGACATTTTATAGGATCTAGTCTGCAGATACTGCAGATGCCTACTCTTTCTTCGGTCAAAACATTTTTGGCAAACCTTCTTTGGCAAAGCATTGTCTGGCAAACTGAACTAAGGGCATAATCGTCATTTGACATGACTAGATATAATTAGAAAATTTTGATGTCTTACTGACTGTATGAATACATCTCCTATAAACAATTTGACAAGGGAGTTAAGGAGGGAATCTGGACTAGTCAAGGCACTTAGAGAACTTGGATGCAGGACTTATGGATTCTATTGCTGGCTTTCCCACCGACTCACTGAATTATCCGGGGTGGATTTCTTGGTATGTCTGAGCTGCAGCTATCCCAGTGGTACAACAGATAAAACAGACATTAAAAGATAAATTAACCTTTTTTAAATCTTTTGGCAGTTTTGATGTTAAAATCATGAAAGCACAAGTACAGACATGTATAACAGTTCATAAGGGTCACAGAAACAGCAAGACAGTCAGCCAAGAACCAAAATACTAGGAGGCTGGGGTCTAATTGAGCTTTTAAGCTGGAGCCTCCAAGAGATGTGAGGCAACTTCTGGTGTGAGGAAGTGCAGGCATATACACATGCACATAGAGGCATATGCATATGTGCCCCTCTGTATACACTTCAGATTGCCAAAAAGTGGGAGATTCTCCAAGATAAGTTGCTATGATGCTGTGCACCAACTCTTGCTATAACAGGAGTCATAAAGTGTTCATGCTACTGATATGCAGATCAGTGCCAGTGACCAAGAGATGCTCCCTTTGTTTGCTGACAAGTTTTAAGTTCATTCAGGTGTTCCCATGCCTATAATAAGGAAAAAGATCAGGAAAAGATCATTCTGATCTAGGAAAGGCCCTCGCAGCTTTTCTCCTACCTACAACTGTCACAAGAATTGCTCCAGCCAGCCATATCTGCACACATAATTAGGCACACGCATACAAACATCACTCAGTATGCAGTCCCAGATACTTTCCATCCGATACATCCTCAGCCATCACTGCCATCTGAGCACAAATATCTTGTACACTTAGACATTCCCACTGTCCAAAATATGGAAATATGGTACTACCTATACCAGAGCATTACAAGAGGCAAGCATGCTGATACAATGCTGACAGTGTGGGAAAGGGGGCATTTTCCGGTAGTCTTGGAGAATGAAAGATACAGTTTTAGGAAATGGCACTGTGTAATGTGAGCTGCTTTAAAACGTGTCAGATCGAAACACATTCTTCTGGTCATTGGTATTTTGGTTATAAAAAGAGCTCAGTGACTAACACAGGGACAAAGTTAGGAAAATGATGTGTGGTATCTAGGGTAATATCCAGCATCAAGCAATGCCCTGTGCCTGAAAAGCCCATTCCAAGGAGGGTTCTGGTGCTGCAGTACCCACATTTTGGGTGTGTGGGCCCCCGTCTGGAGTCCAAAGTCAGAACTCACTCCTGGGGCCCCTCCCCTGCATGAAGAGGCCAATGGAAATACCTTTTACCCCATCCAGGGAGGGTCCCCTGTAGGCATGGTTGCTTTCCCTCCTTACGAGGTGACCACAGACATAGCATGCATGCACTGGCAGGCTCCGAGGTCTGCAGCCTCAGAGCAAGAAAGTTGCTTCCTTGCTGACTCTGGGGACAGGGAACCTGCTCCTTACCATTTCGGTGGAATAGCTTTATAGCAGCCATTTGTTTGCATCAAGGAACCTGGTGATTCATTCTGCCACAGGGAAGCTGCCAGAGACCAGGAGAATGATGCTACCAGTGTCACTAGTTCCTCTGATGAATGGAGTCACTAGCTTCCACCTCTCAACCCTCAGGATGCCTGTTTTCACATGGCCGTTATGGCCTTACACTGAAAACTGCTTCAGTCAGAGTGGGACAGGACCACTATTAGAACCAGGTCCTACGGCTTAGTAGTGCTACCATTCAGACTCTCCTCCAAGGATCAAGCAGTGACTAGGTTCAGTGAACTACATAGTCCAGTATGGTGAAGGATGAGTCCCTGAAGCAGATGGCAAATGGTGTGGTCTCTAATGAGCCCAGGGGTACATCAGAAGTCCTGCCTCCCTGGGGAGCAAGCACTGAGGGAGTGCTGATACAGGGCACCTCCCTTCCAGTGGGATCCAGAGCACAAAGGTGCTCCTCAGAGTAGGGCCTACAGGCATTGCTCTGAAAGGCTGAGCCAGGCTCACCCTTTTCCAGCTGTGGCATCATGGGTGCTGGTGGATTAAGAACATGCAAGAAGAGCAAGGCCTG